GCACATAGCAGCTCTTCTTTGTTGCTGCGTTACTCTGCAATACTTGTTTTTAGTATTCCATACTGTGTTGCTCTGGAAGGACTGTGTCCGTTCATTCATACACCGTTTATGTATATACTTTTTATGACTACTAATAAAACTAAGTTGAATTACTACACTATGGGCATTCCCCTCATGGCTCCTTGGTGAGCTTTTAATTCCCCAGAGCTCCCTCTGGTAACCATCCCTGGTTTTTGAAGAGGCCGATTATATGTCCTTAAAGTGGACCCCCGGATGTAAAGATACCCTGACGTTAAGCTACCTTTTCTAAGCTGTAGCATTTAAGAGGGACTCCGGGCAGACCTCCGTGTGATTAAATACATTGTGCATTTTCCTTCTGCATCTGGTGAGTGCGCATTTTATCTACTTGTTGCCACCCACCTTTATGTTGGATTACCACTGGGATTAATTGCGTCACCTAGGGGCTCCCGCATGACCTTCAAATTTATTTATGGACTTTTATTTATGGTTTTAATTATTATTATGATGTTCATTTATGGTCTTTACGTGGCCCAGACACTTCTTTGACCTCATTATCTTACTATTATTATTATTAATATTCTTTATATAGTTTTGGCGCAGCACTTTCTTATCTTAGTTACTCTAAAAGGGTTTTATGGTTTCCTTTTTATTGCGTAGCCGCTTCTTTGTTCATTAAGCGCTCATTGATATTCTCTCTTTACTCAATGATCACTTCTGCTTTCAATGCAAAACACGTTGTCACTTGCACACTTGCAAATCATGCAGTGTTTCCATTTTTCAGTCTAACCCCTGTGTGTATATACAGTAAATACTCAAGATCTACAATGGTTTTTTAAAAATGCTAAAAAAAACAGCTTTGAATAGCAAAAGGGTAAAAGGATACATAGATGTATTCAGCTCCTCTAGCTGCAGATGAAGAAAAAAAAAAAGGTAAACGTCAAACAAAAAATACACTAAACATCCTAAACCAGTAAAATGTAAAGGACCACCATAGGGAAAATATTGCACTCTCATAACTTCATGCGATTAATCTCTGTAACAACAGTATTGTATGCAAATAAGGTTTTTATTTCACATGCCATTACATATATTTTCTCCACACCTGCATGCAAGGCCAAGCTGTCTATCAAAAGTGACATTTACAGAGGTTGGGACAAACACAGCTGGAGTTTCATACAATGATCAGCCTTTAGTCACATTAAAAAAAAAAATGTTGCTTGAACTGCATTCCCACTGTTCCCATTATTTGAGGAAATGTGCACATACCTGTGGGCATTACTACAACATGAGGCACTGCATGCTATTCGCAATGTGGTGCCATTCATGAATGGATCCCCAATGCATCTTGTCCACAGAGGTGCGCTGCACAGCAGCACAACACCATACTAAAGTATGTTGCAGAGCAGTGTGCTGTCACAAAAAGTGCAGTACTGAGATCTGGGATGCTGAGGTGCATTCCAGCCCATTTATTCTGAATGGGCTGCTTAGCGCAGTGCACATTAAGGTTTGGAGAAAAAAAAAAAACGTGAACACTTTAACACATTGCACCTCAGCAATCAGATGTGACCCTAGCCTTAAAGTATTAAAATACTGGGTTATTGCTAATGACGGACTGCATCGTATGTCAATTTTTATTGTTCAGAGTTTCAAATTAACCACTTGCTCTCCAGAGAATTTACCCTCCTTCCTGACCAGGCCATTTTTTGCGATACGGTGCTGCGTTACTTTAACTGACAATTGCGCGGTCATGAAAACGCTGCACCCAAATGAAATTATGTTCTTTTTTCGCCCCACAAATAGAACTTTTGTTTGGTGGTAATTGATGGCCTCTGGGTTTTTTATTTTTTGCACTATAAACAAAAAAAAAAAAACAACAATTTTGGTCAGTTTGGCCAAACATTTTTTACTTTTTGCTATAAAACATATCCAGTAAAAAAAAATAAAAAAAAATAAAAATTTCATCATAAACTAAGGCCAAAATGTATTCTGCTACATGTCTTTGCTATAAAAAAAATCCCAACATGTGTAAATTAATCGGTTTATAGCATCTACAAATGGCGATATATATACTGGGATTTTTTTTTTTTTTATACTAGTAATGGTCGTGATCAGTAACTTATAGCGGGACTGCGGCGGGCATTCTGACACTGGGTGGAAACGGTCACTGACATCCCCAGTGACACTAATAGAGTGATCAATGCTAATAAAAAGCACTGACACTGTCCTAATGACACTGGGAAGGAAAAGGTTAACATCTGCGGGGCAATCAAAGGGTGTGCTGTATGTGTTTTACTGTGTGCTGTGTTTTACTAGGGAGGCAGGCTGTTTTGTATTGCTCTGCTATGCAGAGCAAAACAAAGCAGCATGCTGGAGCTGACAGGGGAGAGATCTGTATTGTTTATATACAGACCTCTGCGCAGTAAGTGTTCCTCGGTGATCGCCAGGTGTCGGCGGGGAATCTCCGGCGGGGACCCGGTGATTGTCAGCTGTAGCCGCCAATGGCGGTGCAGGTAGGGCACACGCATGCCCCCTACCCAGATATACAAAATCACGCATATATATGTGATTTTACGCAGCCCTGCCGCCCCATAGTAGTAGTTCTGCTATAGGGCAGTTGGGAAGCAGTTAAGTTCATCCACCTATTTCTGTTTTGGATGCATGTCAGTAAGGCTGATTTATTTGTTGGTGTCCATCTCTTAAAGACCCAAAAAGTCAAAGAAAATTTCTAGCTTTTGTTCCTTTCTACATCCCATGCCATCACATTACACTGCTGGGTTGTCCACCGATTGTACATTATGGCTAGTCCAGGACAAGACAGTCTCAGTCTGCTTTACATCAGCTATAATCTGGTCTGCAAATTAAAAAAACAGAGTGAGATCTTGCCACGAAAGATATTTCCAACTGATGCATTATTCAACTTGCTAGCATATGTCCAAAATTAAGGTTCTGGGTAAGCTTAAAGCAGAGCTCCAGTCTCCTCTGAAAAAAAAGGGCTGCTTACTTTTAACAGCCAGTCACCTGTCCCATGATTTAGTGCTCACACCAGCCAGGTTCACCTGCCATCCTCTCGCTCTGGCATCTGAAGTGTGGGCAACCAGCTTAAGATGCCACTGCACATGCATGGGTAGCGCTGCGCATGGTGAATGGTCCTGTAGTCTTCTGGGACCTGTCACGCCGAGGCGGTATGAGTGAAAGTGGGAGCAAGTTCCTGTCAAAATCAGGTACCCTCTTCCCAAAAGTGCCAATTGTTCACGGGAAGCAGGGGACCAATCCTTAAGGCGGAACTTGCACTTTGGGTGAATCACCGCTTTAAAGCTTGCCATACATGTATCGTTTTTTTCTTTTTTTCATTCAGCCAATGGATTTCTCCATCCACACAAGCAAGGAAGATGGAGGATTTCCCCGCTGAATAAGCAGTACAAATTAAAATGTACATCTTTCTATAATTTCTTCTGAAAGTAACAGCAACGCTTGGTATGTGATGGTGCTTAGGCACCTCCTGTGCCTGCTCACCCTCCAGTGTATTTGTAGAGTGAGATCTATGGCATTGCTGCCTCGAACTGCTAGTTTGAGAAGATCTGCACTGAAATTTGGTTGGGTCATAACTGTGCTGTTCACTGTTCTACTTGCTGTAGGCTTTGACTGGAGGAAGAAAGACCCCGCTCCTCTACCAAGATTGCTTCCGCCACACAAAGATACAGTGCAGAACAAGGCATGGCCAGACAGTAAAGGGGAAAGATCAGCTGATAGGATCCTACAGGCTATACTGGAGACTTGTCCTTTTTCCCCTACCTGTACTTTTTTGGCACACCTTTCAAAGTACAGTTCCTCTTTAACCACTTGCCTACCGGGCACTTATAACCCCTTCTTTACCAGGCCAATTTTCAGCTTTCAGCACTGTCGTACTTTGACAATTGCGCGGTCATGCAAGATTGTACCCATATGAAATTTTTATCATTTTTTTCTCACAAATAGAGCTTTCTTTTGGTGGTATTTAATCGCCGCTGGGCACTTTACTTTTTGTGCTATAAACAAAAAATGCAAAAAGTTTGGAAAAAAAAAAAAAGTTTTTATTTTTTTCTATTATAAAATTTTTCAAACAGGTAATTTTTCTCCTTCACTGATGTGCTTTGATGAGGCAGCACTGATGGGCACTAATAGGCGGCACTGATAGGCAGCACTAATGAGGTGGCACGGATAGGCGGCACTAATGATGTGTCACGGATAGGTGGCAGATAGGTGGCACTGATAGACAGCACTAATAGGTGGCACTGACTGGCATCATTGTTGGGCACTGATTGGCGGCACTGCTAGGCATTGACTGGTGCAACTACGGGGCACTGACTGGCACAACCGGTGGGCACTAACTGGTGGCACTGACTGGCAACACTGCTGGGCTGCACTTCTGGGCCCTTTTTGGTGGCACTGGTGGGCACAGGTGGGTGGCACTGAAGGGCACAGGTGGGTGGCACTGAAGGGCACAGGTGGGTGGCACTGCTGGGTGGCACAGGTGGGTGCACTGCAGGACACAGGAGGGTGCACTGATGGGCACAGGTGAGCGCACTGCTGGGCACAGGTGGGCGGAACTGGTGGGTGGCACAGCTGGGCACCGATCATCAGTGCCCTGATGAACGGTGCCAATCCTGCTCTGACAACTGCCGATTCTCGGCAGTACTTTCCTCACGTTCTGACAGCGTGAGGAAAGTGCAGCGAAGAACCGGCAATTGCATTTCCCGGTGATCAGCGTGTCATTGGACACGACTGATTATGTGTTAAAAGGCCGCTCTGATTTGCCTTTTACCACACCACGTGATCAGCTGTGTCCGTAGGACACAGCGATCACGGAGATCGACGGGGGTGCGCAGGAGAGAGCATTCTGGGAGGACATCATATGATGCCCTCGGAGAACTGGCCGGCCGCAGTGTAGCCGTCATTTGGCTATCTGCGGTCGGCAAGTAGTTAATATAAGTGCTAGTAATTTATTTACAAAAAAATAACTTTTTACAAATACATACATCAGAAAGAAGTCTGTCGAGGTTGGAATCACTAGCCATCTTGCGCTTGTCTTCTGTCATTTCCTCCAATTCACCATAAAGCTCCAGGTGAAGACGAGCCAGCTTCTCCTGCAATCCACGAACATGTTCCATTTGTTCGATTGAACATTCATTGCCTATAATCAGCAGTTTGAAATAATGTTAGGAAGATCAACAATAGACAATTTGTAGCACATGACATGTCTGTTACAAATAAAAGAGTAAATGTTGGTGCTGAGATCTGGCGCACAAATCGTTTTAGGGTAGGAAGGGTTGCCCTTTCACACAGAGGATCATAGGGAAGGAGAGGTGAATATACTGTAAGTGTAAGGCAGAAGGAAACAGCAGGGGAGTGAAAGAAAGGTATATAATGCTTGGGACGGTGCATCAAGGCAAACCTGATGCTCTGGCCTGCATAGGTAAAGCACAGGTGAGCTTTAAGCATCCAATATCTATACACCATTACCTCCATATGACAGATTGTTGAAAAAAAAAGCCACTAACAGTGTCAGGTAAGGTACATGTTATACAGAGAAGCCCCTCAACTACCACCCACACCCTATCACCCCTGTGGGTATTGTCTGACATAATGGTAAATTATACAGGAAAGCACAAGTAACCTTATAAACTACAAAATTATCAAGATTATGGCACTTTGACCTGCATCTTTGAAATTAGAATCTGCAATGGAAGCTTCCATATTTCGATACTAGCAGGTCACTGCATTCTCTCATATGCAGATACATACTAGAAAAAGCAAGTACAAATATGTTTCTGAAATGTAATAATCAAAATAGTTAACAGCAAGCAAATAAGTATCAATATATCAAAAATAACGTTGCAATGACATTGAAAAAGTCCTATAGTTTCCCTTTAGGGCTTATTCTCACCAGCCACCATGCAAAAATTAGCGATTTTAGCATGCTGGCTGGTGTCCATAGTATATGGATAAAGCCTTGAGTTGTTACAACCTAAGGAACCATTTACCTTTTTTGTTTTTCTACAAATGACCTTTGATTAATAGCTATGCACTGCCACAGTGTGGGGTATAGTGACATGAAGTGGAGTCTGGTGTGTTCGGAAAAATGCAGCATGTCTATATTTTTACACAACACACTGCAACCAACCTCAAAGCAATGTTTTGGTGTGAACAGGACACGCAGAAAAGAATTGTTTTCTAGGTGCCCTAGCAGTGAACCTGTGTTGATCTGTGTGAATGACAACTTAAAAGTAAACCTATAGTGAAAAAACATGTTGGCTGCCATTGCTTAACTCTCCTTTTGAAAATGCTATATTCCCGGCTTATATGCTAATAAAAGGGGTTTGATATTGCCTTAGTCACTAAATGGAAATAAAGTATGCAGCTCATTTCTCACATTTCAGCACGCTTTGGGCTTCACTAACTGCATACTTGCTTTTGGTCAGTGACTAAAAGAATTGTGACTAATGGCAGCCAGGCAACTAGCATTTTCAAAAGGGGGTCAGCAATAGTACTGCAGACCCATGTATTTCTCTCAGTTCAGGTTTCATTTACCAGGCTGTCAACAGTAGATATAAAGAGCCTTCCTTATCATAAAAAGGCATTATTTATTACCAAACGCTTGAAGTTTGCCTGAGTGGAAGTCATTGAGAAGACTCAGAAGCCCTTTCTCCATCTCCTGTACATCAGACACATCTGTAAGGAACGAGTGCTGAATGGGAGCCGATGAAGCACCTTTACTCTCTCCCTGAGATTTGGATTTCTCTTTAATGACTCTTCAGGTAAAGAAAACAAATAGAAAATCAGTCCATCACCCTAAAAAGTACACCCTCTAAAAATAAATTCCTAATTCAAGTCTCCTGGTCATCTGTATGGTCAAAACATACATACTGTATGTAAAATCATATATCCCACAGTCAAAGATAAATTGTACACTAGAAATACCTGTTCAGCTAGCTTAACAACAAGCGATAATAGGAAAGCCATCAAATGCCTGGCATCTCACACAATTGTCTCCCTTGTTTCTGTCTCTCTGAGGCACAAACGTATTCACAATTTGAAGCAAGTTATATTTTTTTTCTGGTTTTCTGCCCTTTATTAGATCTCATTTATTTATATACGAAGAAAAAAAACTATGCAGGACAATAAGCAGATCATGGGTGATAAATCATCCTTCATCCCACCCATCCACTGCATGGATTATGAATTAACTCCCATGAAGCCCAGTGATGTCTGTCCATTCTGCTTATGTTCTATTACTCCAAGTAAATGCCAACAAAATGGGGTTGATTTACTAAAACTAGAGAATGCTAAATCTAATGCAGCTGTGCATGGTAGGCAGCCAGCTTCTAACCTCAGCTTGTTCAATTAAAGTGGCTGTAAAGGCAGGTATTTTTTGTTTTTTACTTTACTGCATTCTATACAGCAAGGGAAAAAACCTTCTGCCACTGGCTCCTGCTGCAGTCAATTAGAGCCAGTGACAAGGTGCAGGGGTGGGACCAAGCCCCATTCTGTGTGTCTTATGGACAGACAGAGCAGGGCTCAGGAGTGAGCACACGAGTGCCCCCAGAGTAAATGGCTTGCTATGGGAGCACATGTCCAGGTTGGGGAGTGGAGTCCAGAGTGCTGGCAGGGGACCAGAGAAAAGGAGGCTCTGGGCTGCTCTGTGCAAAACCACTGCACAGAGCAGGTAAGTAGAACATATTTGTTATTTTAATTAACAAAAACAAAACAAGCTTTACAATCACTTTAAGCTTTGATAAAGGTACCTGAAAGCTTATTGGTTTATATGCAGAGCTGCAGAAGATTTTGCACTATCCGGTTTTAGTAAATCAACCCTATGAAATAAAGCTGCAGTGCAATCATCTTAAAGAGTCAGAGCTGATTCACCCTCCCTGTTGAACTGTTCATTTGTTTTTAACATGGAGAATACAACAGAATTGAGATGTCATGGCAGTAAAAAGCCAGGGATTAAGGATATTAAGGAGATGAAAATCTACAACCAAAGAAAACACTGGTGCTGAAAAACACCATTGTTGACTTTTAACTAAAATATATTCATTTTGGATAGGCTAGTCCTTTAAAGCAGACCTATGCTCACTTTGGCTCTAGTGATGCAGCATCCTGGAGCTTCCCATCCAGCTGCTTACATCTTCAGACAGCTGGCATCTGGGTCTCAATTGACAGCCACTTTCATAGGCCGAGTGGGGATGATATCACTTCCGCACATGCATGGGAGTTGTCAGATTTGGCCGAATTTGTACAGTGAGCTGCGCAGCTCACTGTACAGAGACAGACAGGCAAGTACCTTTAAGCCTGGGTTCGCACTGATGCGGTGCAGAATTTGCATCAATTTCTCTGCGATTTCTGCACCGCATCATGATCGCACCCCGTTCATGTGAACTGCTGAGGGTGTGTATGTTAACATCACCCCGAATGCGATGAATCGGATTGCATATGGGTGTGAATACACCGATTCTAGTGCGGACAAAAAAAAAAAAAAGGGTACTACACTATTTTGGTGTGGATGCAGTGCGATCTGAGCCATACAAAATGTATGGCTCAAATTGCACTGCACAGAAATAACGGTTCCTTTGAGAATCACAGGCGGTGTGCCGCACAGCATTAGTGTGAACCCAGGCTAATTCAGAACAGCATTTCCCTTCCACATTAAATGTCCTGCCTGTCCTCCCCTCTTTATTTTTGGCTTCAAGTTTCACTTTACACACAATATCTGCAGTTTCGATAATCACCTTTTCAACTTTGGTTTTTGCACAGCTGGCTGTGGCACAGCGTTTGAGAACCCAGTACTTTTGCTAAGTGGGACAGAATTCCTCTTGGAATTCATGAGTGGAGGAGGGTGACTAGTAGAGGATTTGGGACTCCTCCTTTTCATCTTCCTCTCATCCATTTAAGCTGAGCTTTACTTCTGGACAACCTAAAAAGAGAAAAAGAAAAAAGGAATCAGGCTTTGGTGTATACAGGTAGATATACAGCTGAACTCCAGAACGCATAAAAAGAATATTTAATTCAGTTACAAATACTCTTAAACTAATGAAATCATCCATAAAGCGGATCTTCCCCCCTTTCAGTAAACATGAAAGCACCATAAGGCATGCGGACATAAAATCATCTTACATTTATTCACCACTTGAAGACCAAGCCTTTTCTGACAATTTTTGTTTAAATGAAAAAAAAAAATCAGTATTTTTTGCTAGAAAATTACTTAGAATGCACAAGTATATATTTTTTTTAAAGCAGAGGCCCTAAAGAATAAAATGGTGGGAGTTGTGATTTTTTTTATGTCACATGATATTTGCGCAGCAGTTTTTTAAAATTTAATGCACAAAAACACAATATAATACCCAATAGTTTGGTAAACTTTAAAAGACGATGTTATGCCAAGTAAATAGACACCAAACATGTTACGCTTTAAAATTGCACACACCTGTGTAATGACAAATGACAACGTAAATTTTATTATCCATAGGCAATGCTTTAAAAGCCTTTACAGGTTACCACTTTATATTTACACAGGAGGTCTGGTGCTAGAATTACTGCCCATCATCTGATGCTCGCGGTGATACCTCACGTGTGGGGCGATCACCATTTGCGTGCATGTGGGACTGTCCTGTGCGATCGCCTTTGTGCAAGAGCACGTGGGGGCTCTAAATATTTTTTGTCTCCTCTGCCCTTAAAAGGAGAGGGGGAGGGGTACATCGGGTACGTCACTAGTCAAGTGATTAAACAAACATTTTTGCTTTTACTTACAATTACTGTTTTTCTACTTTTTGGTTTCTTTAACCACTTGCCCTCCTGAGGATTCACCCCCCTTCCTGATCAGGCCATTTTTTGGTTTATGGTGCTGCATTACTTTAACTGACAATTGTGCGGTCATGCAGCTCTGCACCAAAAATAAGTTTATGTCCTTTTTTTCTCACGAATTGAGCTTTCTTTTGGTGGTATTTGATTGCTTGTGTTTTTTTTTATTTTTTTGCACTATATATAAAAAAAAAAAAAAAAAGCAACAATTTTGAGAAAAAATTTTTTTTCTACTTTTTGCTATTTAAACATGTTCAGTAAAAAAATTAAAAAAAAAAATCTAATTTTGTCATAAAATTTATGCCAAAATGTATTCTGCGAAATGTCTTTTCTAAAAAGAATCCCAATACGTGTAAATTAATTGGTTTATGTGAAAGTTATAGTGTTTACAAATGGCGGTATATATACTGGGATTTTTTTTTTAATTTTTACTAGTAATGGTGGTGATCAGTCACTTATAGCGGGACTGCGGCAGACATTCTGACACTGGGGGGAACTGACGGTGTCACTGACATCCCCAGTGACACCAATACAGTGATCAAAAAAAAAAAAAAAAAAAAAAAAAGCACTGACACTGCACTAAATGACACTGGGCAGGAAGGGGTTAACATGAGGGGTGATCAAAGGGTTAACTGTGTGCAGGGAGTGTTTTACTAGAGGGTGTGTGTGTGTTTCACTGTAATCACACTGCTCTGGATAGCTGTGCTGTGCACAGCCATCCAGAGCAGTTTGCCCAAGCTGACAGGAGGAGAAATGTTAGTAAACAAAACAATCCTCCTCCCCATCAGTGATCGTCGGAAATCACCAGGCGTAGGTGAGTAATTACAGGCTGAAACCGGTGACAGGACACGCACATGCCCCCTACCCAGAAATGCAAAATCATGTATATATATATGTGATTTTTCGCACCTGTGCCGCCCTGTAGCAGTATTTCTGCTATAGGGGGTGAAGATACGGCTAAAAGAGGAAGAGCTACAAATACTGTAGCTGCTGATGTTTAATAAACATGCACTTACCAGTCCAGGGATCCATCACTATCCTCACCCTGGCCAGTTCTTCACCAGTCTTTCAGTCTCTGCCATCTTGGATGTGGGAATCCGGCCATGACTTCCTGGTGTTTTACAGCCAGCTTCCCACCGCACATACACGAGTAGCACTGCCCTTCTCAATGAACCCACAGCCTCCTGGGACCTGTGATGTGTCCCAGGAGGCCAAAAGAAATCTTGTCAGCTGATAACTTCCTGTACTCTCTGCCTGTGCTGTATTTTTATTAGTGACTTTGTTCCCAGATATCTCTGAAGACTATAGAACCACATCCCTCTGCTATGAATTTGAGATGAGGTAAAGGTTTCTTTAGTTCTGATACAGTGAGCAAGCATTGTCACTCTAGGACAGGAGGTGTGTTACTGGCCAGATCACCAAGTGAAAATGAAAAAGTCTAAAATGAAAAAAAAAAAAAAAACACACAAAACATCTAAATGATTTGTAAGCCGCAATACTTTCATTTTTGGTTTTGGGATAAGTCCTAGTTCACACTGGATTCGACTTTGAACTTCAAGAGAAGTAGTACAATGTCAGTGCGACTTCAAATACGACGTGGAAGACATCTGTGCGACCTCATGCACAGATACAGTATCTATGCTAGTCGCACCTGAAATCGCAAAAAAGAACTGCTGGGACTACTTTCAAAACTGTTGGAGTCGCACTGATTTGAACGGCTCCATTGCAGACAATAGGGTGCGACTTGTCATGAATGTGATTTGAAATTGTGAAATCGCATGTCAAGTCACGCCAGTGTGAACGGGGGGCTCAGATATACTTAAACTTTGTTATTTTTTTCAGCACTGCTTTTCCTTTATGCTGGATTTTTAATGTGTCAAATGAAAACATGTATAGGTTGGATGATAGGTTTAACTTCTTCTTGCCCAAGGACGGACGTCCTTGAGTTTCAACAGTTACCGGCTACAGGCATCATCCCGCTATCAAAATTTGCAAAAAAAGACTCAATTGCTTCTGGGGGCATTGGAAGGAGGTTCCTCTCCCAACTGCCTTTCCTGGGCTCTCCCATCTGATCACGGAGCTGGGAGTGCTGCGACCGGGGCACTATAGAGGCAGAGAGAAGAACTGACATTGTCCCTTCCTCTCTGTGACCCCATAGACTGGAAGCAACGAGGATTTTGCCATTTCCAGTTTTGTCTCTGTTTACAAGCTGTTAGCAGTCTGGAAAGTAGCCGATCACACTGATTTGTGTCTAATCGGCTGCACCTAGAGGACAGAGGAGAGATCTGGATTCTAAAAGACCTCATATATTTACATAAAGAGGACCTGTCATGGCCCATGCTGTCACAAGGCATGTTGTCCCTTGTGATAGCAATAAAGTTAATAAAAAAAAATAAAATAAAGCCCCCTTCCATTCTTATGCGCAAATGCGAATGCATACAAAGGTCCTGCACGTATATGGAAACGGTGATCGCACTTATCGGTGATCGCACTTATGAGGTATCTTCGTGAACGTCAGAGCGAGAACAATAATTCTAGGAACCATCTTCCTGTGTAACTCTAAACTGGTAACTTGTAAAGGCTTTTAAAGCTTCGCCTATGGAGAATTTTAAGTACCATAGCTTTGCGCCATAACACGGGTCTATGCAATTTAAAACGTGACTTGTATTTACTTGGCGTAACATCATCTTTTATATTTTATAAGAAATTGTGTTACATCGTGTTTGTGTCCACTAAAATTCATTAAAGTGTATTACAAAAAAATAATAGCGTTTGAAAAATTTTATTTTTTTTCTACATACTTACTTGTAAACTACATTTCTTGGTGTACATCATTGGACACAGAGCAGGCCATAATAATGACTATGTGGGTTATATGCCACCTATAGGTGAATGGATACTGGCTGACCAATCAATCAGGAAGTCCTCCCCATATAACCCTTTGTACACAGGAAGTACCAAACAACGAAAATCCAAAAAGAGGGGAGAGACCTCTGTGTCCCGTGATGTACTCCAAGAACTGGATTTTACAGGTAAGCATGTAGAAAAAAAAATCTTTTTTTTTTTCCTTTCTCGTACATCATGGGACACAGAGCAGGCCATAATAATGACTATGTGGGATGTCCAAAGCAATAACCTTGAGGGGTGGGTGACATCACAATAACCACCACCAACATCCCAAAAAGGAGCTATTCAGCTGTACGTAAAACACTGTGGCCAAAGACAGAATCCTCCATAGCTCTGACATCCACCTGGTAAAACCTTGTGAATGAATGAACCAAAGAATGTAGCAGCCTTGCAAACCTGAGCAACTGACGCCTGGTGGCGGATAGCCCAAGATGCCCCCACACTCCTGGTAGAGTGTGCTTTCACCCAAAATGGTGGACCCTTGCTCTTCAAACCATAGGCTTAAATGATTAAGACCCCGGTCACATCAAAGCCGATTTTGAAATCGTGCGACTTACAGTTAAGTTGCATGAATTCAAAAATCGGGTGACCTGCCGATTTCAGTTGCGATTTGCAAGACGTCTGACACAGATGTCTATGCAAATCGCAACAAAAGTAGTGCATGTACTACTTTAGAAATTGGTGCAGCTCTACCCAGGTCGGAACTGCACAGATATGACCGCTCTAATAGCAGACAATAGGGTGCGGCTTGACATAGGATTTGCAAGTCGCAGGGAATGCAAATCGCATGCCAAGTCCCACCTGATCTGACCCGGGTGTAACTGATGAATCCACTTAGAAATAGTTGATTTGGATGCCACCTGTCCTCTCATGGGACCTTCCAGCAAAATAAACAAGGAATCAGTCTTTCTAATCTGCGCTGTCATTCTCAAAAAGACCCTTATTGCCGAACTACATCCAGGGCATGCAAAGATCTTTCTTTTGCATATTGAGGCCTAGGAACGAATGAAGGCAGAACATTGTCCTGATTAAGATGAAAACTAGAAACCACCTTTACCAAAAAGAAAGGATGAGGCCGTAACACCACTTTATCCTGATATAAAACCAAAAATGGTTCCCTACAAGAAAGAGCTGCCAACTCCGATGGCCCTCTTGCAGAGGTGATTGCAAAAACAGAACATT